TTCGTTCTATTGTGGGTTCATTAACCTTGAAGAACCGTAGTCGTCGTGCCGCGCCCTGTTCGATATGGGACGCATAGCGACGTATACAACACGTGTAAAATACATTGTTTATTTACATGAAATTCGAACACGCGCTGCGCGACGACCACCGCGCTTTAATATAAATTGTCGACCATGTATAAAGGGCGTGTCATTTTATAACCGGCTTCTAACATGGCTATACCCCCTCCAATAATAAAATGTTGCATTAGATTAACTAATTAGATTAACTAATCATGTGTGTTCGTTTGTCGATCTCCTGTCAATCAAGATCAGCTGACAATACCACGTTCTAACTAACTTCTCTCAATTTATACAGAGAATATAAGTCGTGAATCCGGCGATCTGATTGGTGGAGGGCGCATAGCCATGTTATATTAGAATGCTACTTTGCTTATGGTAGCCTCGTTTTCAGCTTCAGATTTCTTTTGGGGGAATTCCCTTATTCATATCGAATACAGCTTCTAAACATCTCCTGTTGCACGTACAGAGCGCGTGATAGTACTTTATTACATGCACTGGCAGTTGTTCAACAATTATAGACATTGTGGAAGTATGGTCGATTTGCTATTGGTTAACATCTTATAGTCCAATACCGCCAGAGAATGGTGAGTCATAAATTCTACAATGTGTTTGTGTGATTATGGGGACCACACCTGACTTCCTACGGTACAGTATTTGCTATGTTAAACCATGGAGGTAGAAAAGTCTCTTTTCTACCTCCATGGTTAAACTGGCTGTTGACCGAATTGTATTAAAGTAATGTAACGACATAAGAACTAATCTAAAGCAGCAAAATAATACGTATACAACAACAAAGTTTGTCAGAGAATCAGCGGAGCTTACCTATGAACAGTGTATTGAGTATCCATAGAAACAGTAACTTCAATGTCATATTGATAGAACGGTACCGCTGCATTTTGGGAGTCAAAATTGTACTACTAATACACGGTGATCATGCGTTGCTTGCATGAGAGAATGTTGCATTTCTAGTTACCCGAGTTGCCTTAATGCAGATCAAACCATTATTCAGGAGGGGTTACTGGGATGTTGCAATGGTGTGCATGTTTGTTGTAATGAATGAATCATGAATGAGACAGTTTATCTCATTGATACCTAAACTGAGAATGTATTTGAGGTAATAATTACAACATTACAATATTCTATATACATGGAAATAGAGAATTTAAATTCACGCAATTTGAACACACACCACACACGAATGAAGTAACCTTTAACATTTTCATTGGCAGTTGAAGGGGATTCCCCCGGGCCGATCAAGACTATCTTGCCACTGTATGCGTAACTCGACAAATGGCGCTATATTTTACCCGCTTCAATTACAGTAACTGTAAAATGATTAATTTTCACTAGGTTTAAATTTCGCTGATTTACCATTTCAGGCATATTCAGTGGGTTTTAAATTCACGGTTTTATCATTTAGATAATGTGTTCTATGCTAAATTTTACATATTCACTGGGTTTTAATTTAGGGCATTGAATGAATAATTAACCCCTTTACAGTATCACATGCTGGTTAATGTTCTTATGGTCAGTTTATATTTGCAGGGTTAAGACAAAATCCTAATTCGGGGGTATGTTTTTATTGGACTGTCGCATCAAACCATTGTATATACAAAAGTCGACGAAATATATGTTATATTTAAGCATATCTAATTAACATACTTACTGTCAATGTACGGTCAGTGATTGTTCAGATTTGACAATCTCTGCTTAAACCCCTTATGCAAATATTGTTCTCAATACCTAGCATGCATCTCGATTTTATTGTATGAATTAACATTTGTTGAGAGCAACGCTACCACTTTGAACGTGGGTATTCTAAGCCTTTATAGGCCTTTAAAATGAAGCATGCTTGTCAATTCCGGAAAATCAAATATCAGAAAATTTTCATGAAAAAAATCCCGAATGTTATAAGAAATTCTTCTCTTCACTACAATAAAATCCCAAGCGTCGGACATGTTCTTCGTCTTCCACTGGATTAATCCATCTTGCACTTTGCCCCATGTTTAGGTAGAATAGCAGGTAAGTGCATGTGCATGCACTATTTACAAATTTGAAACAAGGACACAATGTTCAAACGGCAATCTCACATTTATATATGTCGTGTCTAGGACATACATTAAATCGCAAACTTTTCTTTTCACAGGCAGTTTCACAGACGCCATTACGCCCACACCCTTGCAAAGTGAATACACCCGGGGGGAATCCCCTCACATCATGCAAATTGTGCTATAAATATAAAAAGGGGAAAACCAGCATTCCGATCTGATAACGTATTAGTTTCAATTCATTTGCATATTACCAATTTATATTTATATGAACTGTAACCTTGAAATATACAGTATATAAATGCCCGTCGCATAATAAACAGTCAGCTGTTGTTACACGGGGTTGCTAGACAGATGTCAACAACTCAGTACATGTACCCACTACCATACTTTCTAGAACACAATTCGTCCAATTAGATATGTTTAGTTTATCCCTTTATTTATTCGAATATATTAATCATCGTTGAAAATCTGCAATTTTAATATGGCAATTAGAATGACACGTTTTATTGTTTCAACTTGTAGTACGAACAGGAGTTTATTTACGAGAAAATAAACGAGCGCCCTCGTGTGGCCAACGTTTCATAAACGTAGTTTTAGAATAAAAGTTGTGGAATTGTTAACTGTAACTTTACTACACACCCACAAAGATGTACTGATTTAGTCGAGTTACATGATATTATTTACAATAGCATTATACACGATACATGCAGTAAACTGAGCTAACATAATGCCAGTTCAGTGGCGGCCGCACCGGGGGTCGGGCGCCTACGGGGCGCAAGGGATGGTGAGCAGATCTCGCCCCATTCAAAATTACGTGCCGCCGCCTCTGCGGTTAACAAACCATAGCGGTTGCACTTGTATATGAGTACACCTGTTTACAGGCATGCGTAGATTTAGAGAAATATACGTACTTCCAGAACTATGGGTCACATGACAAAGAGTGGTATACACAGCAAACAAAACGGGGGGGGGGGTCAGTACTGGCTAATTTGAGCAGAGATATAAGGATGTGGTAAACTGAATGTTGATACTATTTGGATACTCATCTAATGAATGGCTCGCTCATTGACCTTCGATAGCGGCAAAGTTGATAGACTTAATTAAACCTATCGGTTCTCAGATCATACTACAAATACTGTATTAATCGAACGGTCTCTTATATTGAAAATATACCATGGATTATAGCTAAGTTTTCAAACACTACCCAAGCAAAATTAGGCAGGGAAAAATAGTGGATACATTTTAGGTTGCACACAAATCTGGTCAAAAAGAAACTGTATTGTATGGCAGGGCATAGTGGCAGTACTGAGAATAACTCTCTAGTGCACTTTGTCGTTTTTTGTAAAAAAAATAATAATGAATATAAAATGAATTTTGTTTATGTGCATCACAATAGAATTACTTTGACTAAACAAATAATACTGAAAATAATGATCCCTCAAAATAAAGATTAACGAGACATTGTATATCTATCATGATTACATAATAAACGTTACGTTAATACCAGAAAGATCATGATTCCAGTTTTTCCAGTATTTATCAGTGTATTCGGTGATGGTTTGATGATACTAGTAGTTTGGATTCAACTGACAGTGTCGCCCATGAGAATCATGACTCGCACTCACGACTACAATAAAAAACGAAAGTAATCACAGCATGGGCTGTTGTTTTCAATAGTCGGAAAATGTTAAAAAGCCCCATGGCGCAATTGGCCGTCAGGTCATCCCTCGGACAAACACTGGTACGGCATATGAACTACGGTATTCGCCTATATCAACGCTTTCAGATGAGGTCGAGCCCATTATTAGATTGTAGTAAAATACTGAGTACATTTTAGATAAAGTCTCAAACACAGTTTTAGCACGTTAACCAGTCGCTGGAGCACCGAGGCAGATGTCTTGATACTGATTCAATACACCCATTTGTGGCACGTAAAGTTATAGTTTTCCACGCTGGTCTCCAATCACCAGATCACGTCGTAGAAATGGGTGACCACCAGGTAGTCATAATTAACAATAATTCCCTGATTGAGAAGTATACGAATTATTCCCTTCATACCTCCCCCCACCAAATATTCGTAGATAAAATGGCGCCGTTTCTCTGCTTCCTTCTTCGTTGGATTAGTCCATCTTGCACACACCCCATGTTTATAGGTAAAGTAGCTATGGAATCCATGTATATTTTATATATATTTACAAATTGCGTAAAATGTTACATTTAACATATATGAAGTATGAAGTACATACATTAAACATGTGCGCACTCGTATCCCTGAGATTCTCACACTAACACCGTTTTAAGAATTCTATACTCCCTATGCGAAGTGATGAAACCCGAAGGGGAATCTCCTCACAATAGTGCTATAAATATAAAAGGGAAAAACCAGAATTGTTAGTTTCGAATCATTAGCATATATCGCTGCCTGCCTTTATGTATGCCTTTATTATATATATATATAACTTTAACCGTAAAATTCACAGTATATACATGTCCGTCTCACATACCCGGGGCTGCTACCTGGCTACAGGCGTGGAAAACTAGCTTAGGGTTTAATACCATATTTTGCAGGATACAATACACCTGATTAGGTATGTCTAGTCTATTTTTATATATATTCGGCCATATAGAAACAGGAACCCAATTTTTGCATCTATTTCCCCTTTATTGATAAAACACAGTGATGTCATCGAAACGAGACAATACTCCGTGTGCAAACATGTTGTTAATACATTCACACTTTTCCTTTTGAACCCTCGCTATCAGTATTCTACAGGAATACATCGACTCGGAAATATAAGTGTTACGCTAAAATGCTTCTTGGTCATGTATCGTATAATATGGTCAGTCGTGGAACGAATTTGCATGCATAGTGGAAATGACGCAGGTCTTTTCAATAGAAATAACCACTGGGGCTTGCATGCTGTCATTATGAACTATGGACTGTATCTGTAAAACCGGTACATGTACGATGTGCTGAACATGAGTCTGTGATGTCGTATACCTAACAAGCCCGTGTGCCGATTTTTGAGGTACTCTCACATGCTGATGATCAATTCGCCGGCAGCCTCATCTATACCGCTAAATCATGAACCACTTTTCAGTTTGTGTATGCATCGCATATAATAATAATTAATGACCAATTAGCTAATTGTGGTTATTTCTTTGATCGCTTTTTAATAACATTTATGTCGTCGTCAAACGAGTTGCTTTCATTTGCGTCACGGTGTTGCGTCGAACCTGCTACACATTGAGAAACAATATAACATCTTAGTTCATCTGAATATGCTTTCCGATTTATCACTGTGTGTGTCTCTGCACATCGTTAATTTTTGTTAAATAAAATAGTATTTGTCACTGTACGTACTGCGTTCTTTATCTTTCTGTCTCTTTGTTATTGACATGTTTGCAAATAAACTCCTAATCCTATGGTTTTCGAAGAACAATTATTCGTATACTGAGAAGATGTTTTTTTTCTATTTTCTGTTTACAGTAATATGCAAGTCGCCGAGAAGTCGCAATGTCACATGCATTCACCATTGGGTCCAGGGAACGATTTAATAATGAATAATGTTTGCATACAATAGAGAATAAAATTGGGCAGTTGATGCGCAGTGTAAGAAAAACAAGAACACATTGTCATAATACACCACACACGCGTTACATAATCACAACACAATTTATGGAATCGACAACTAAAATGTAATAATAAATTCACATATACATGTAGCTCACAAATTAGTGCCTTGGGTAAGTCTAAGACATGCTCAACATGCATTTAATCCCATAAGAACATTTCAAGATTTGCATGAAATATTATTGT